TTGATAATCATTTTGTTTTCATTGGGTTTCTTCATTTTGTTTTGCATTCACTTAAGGTTAAAACTTGTTGTCTGCATTTTGTTGTTGCCATCATTTATTCTCCATCGTCTACACCTCCATAATCATCTTTATCTTGTAAATTAATTTGTTATCTTCCCTGGATTGCATACAATTTTTGTCACAACGGCGCAAATTTTATGTAATTTTTGCCAGCCAGCTGCCCCTTGCAATACAGTTTATAAATTTGTTTATCCATTAACTTTTGTTTCGGTTTAATAATAAAATTGAAAATTTTTAAGAGATTTATCTAGATGTGATGTTTTCTTGTTTGTTAATTTGTTATGTTGCATTTTTAATATTATATATTTTGTTTTCGGTTTTGCTTTCCCATCTTTCATCCATTGGTTTTTGGTTTTTTTGTAATATAAGTATATAAACTTTTTGCTTTGACAAAGTTTTTCCAACTTATATTTATCATACATGTTATATATAAATAAATGTTTAAATATATATAAAATATGCATTTAAATTGATTTATCCAAAAGGTAAAGTTTTAATTGTTTTTTGGGTTTTTTCTTCACTTGATTTTTCTTGTTTTTTTGTTTTTGCTTTTCTTTGTCCATTTCCTTTTTTGTTTATAATATATATTAAATTGTTTTCTTTTTCGTGTAAAGTTTTAAAGCATTCGAGGGCAGGAAGTAGATGTTGAAAAATACATGTATCAAAAAAATTAAGGTAACGTATATAATTACATACATACATACATATGATGAAAAGGTTTCATTCGCATTGCAATGGATGAGATGAGTGGAAACGAAAAACAAGAAATCTTCCCATTTTCTCTTTATTCTCGTTAAATTTAATAAGTGTATATACGATTATAAAAAAAAAACAATTGGTTAACAAAATGGCTTACTTAAAGCGACTTAAATATTTGATTGTACATAGTAGTTCAAGCTAATCGATAAACTAACAGTCTAACGGAAATTCAATAAAAACTCTAAAAACGTTTATATTTTTTTAGTTTTTTTTCGATATTAAACTGAGTGTGGAATTGATTGTAATCGGCCATTCTGATTTTAACTTTCGACTGAAATTTGAGTAAAGTTTTTAATGGGCATTTTTTCATCACGTTGGTGTCTTTAAATATCTTACTCTGGGTTTTGAAAACACTTGAAATGTGAAAGATTGCTCGAATCAAAATCGTTTGTTGTTCATACCGTACGAATAGGGAGCTTTCGAAATAGTTTCAAAACTCAAGGGATTTGTAAACGGTGCCGAAAGTCGAGTTCAAAATGGGACCCATTCGTTTTAATATTGAAATTGTGGTTTTGTAGTTGTGGTAGTTGGTAATTTGGGTTTAACTTTATATTCGCTTCTTTTTTTCTTGTATTTCCTATTCATATATGGTGTAGTAGAAAATGTACCGATAAAAAGTGTTATTTCCCTTTGCTTTTAGTTTGGTTTTCGCATTTTTGCTGGGTTCTCTTCTGAGGTCACCGAAACGACAGAGAGAAAGACATAGAGATAGAGAGAGAGAGGAGATAAAGGGTCAAGGTCGAAGTCGAGTCGGGAGTTTCACAGTGCGAGAGAGACGGAGATAGAGAGAGATAGAAAGAGAGAGAGAGAGAGATAAAGAGCGACGAGCAGGAGAACAGGAGAATGGAGAGGGTAGAGCGAGAGGGGAAGTCGTTATTATAATTTTGTTTCGCTTTTGTTTAGTTCTTAGGCTTCGTGTATATAGTATAAAAGTATTTTTTATATATTATTTGCTTACTCGTAATATGTTATATATTTCGGTTTTTGGTTTCTTCTCATATATGTGTATATTCATTAAATTTACTTTGGTTTTTCATTTGCTTTTTTATGTTAGAAGAGCGCGCTAATTTGTAATTTTTCCTTTGTTTTTTTCATTTTTTTATTGTGGGAACGTTGGAGGAGAGAAAAGTATTCAGTTATATGCTATACATATGTATACGGGTTGCGGTAATTTGTTAAAAAGTTCTCATTTACTTTAAAAATAATAGTAAGAGCTTGCTTGCTGTAATCCTTTATTGTAATTATTGTTTATAATATTTGTATTATTCGTATTCTTGATTTTTCATTGAATCGAAATGCATAAACGTCTTGTAAATGGTTGTGTTTGTGTGTGAAACGCTTAACATTAGATCGGTTTATATTGTATATGGATATATATATATATATGTATATATATATATATGTAAATATATATAAATGTAAATCATCTGTAACCATTAACTGCTTGATGACGTAGTCGCTGATGCGCATGGGCACCCGCGCAAAGGCAAAAAACACGCGAGGAAGAAGGGGAAAGTGGAAACGGAGTCAAAAGCATGCTTTCTTCTTGCTGCTCTGCTTGCCAAGCATGCTTTCTTCCATCCCCTCGCTCGCAAAAAGCAACGCTGCGTGTGTTTGTGTGTGTATGTTCGGCTGTTCGGGTGTGTTTATGGGTGCCTATCAACATAATTTGAGTTTGTCTTTTAACTGTCCTGATTGCTGCTGCACTTGTGCACACCGCGTTCGCATTCTCTGTTCTTTTTGCTTTTTTGTATCATGTTCGATTAGCTGCTGCTCGCTCTTCGCCTCCTTCTCTTTTCGCCTCATACTTGGCCTATACGCACGGCGTATTGGCCAATACAAATCGAACTATCGTAGTTACTCCTTAATTGCCAGTTAGTATGTCACGAGACTAAAACCTCGTTTGCAAATCGAAAACCAAAGGCTTACACTCGAAAAAGTGGGCTATCGAATCATTTGTATTCGCAAATAGGCCGTGCGCATAATCATATAGTACGAACTTCGACCCTTAACTATTTCAAATATATATATATATGTGTATATACGTTCTCTTAGGCGTATGTATGTATATTTGTTTATAAAGTACTTCAAATTGCTATAAGTTTGCATTTTGTATTACATGTTCTTTAAACTTTAAATTGGGTTTGTTTGTTGTCTTGTCGAATTTGAAAAATTGTTTTTAGTTTTTTTTTTTTTGCGTTTTTGCATGCCGCACAATTGTTTGCTTTTTTTGGTTTCAACATATTATTTTTGTTAATGGTTGTAAACGTTATTTGGTTTAATTTTCATCTTGTATAATTTAAACTTAATAGTTAATTCACATAGTTCGGTTTTTTTCTGTTTTTGTTGCTAATGATTTTTCCCTTACGACTTATTGTAGAATATAATTATTTTTGTTTAAGAAAACGTTTCGCCTTGCCCTTTTTGGCTGTAGGCGGTTTTTTGTTTGTTTAAATTTTCATTTTATTAAATTCATTTAATTCAATTACTTAACGCTTATAGAAAAAAGTTTAGTAAACAATAATGCAGTAGAAACAACAATTTAGTTTATAAATATATATTTATGTATTTATATTATGTGTGTTGCTGATTGTGTATATATATATATATGTAAATAGTTTACAATAAATACAAATTATAAAAAAGATAACAAGAAATATAAAAAATTTAAGAAATAACAAAATTCCCTTTGCACACGTTAATTACATCTTCATTAGTTAGGCTTCGCGTTTTTCTATATTTTTTCTGCTTTGCTCTATTCTATTCTCTTCATATCCCCTTTAAATTCTCCACTACATCTGCTTCTCTTTGACTTTAAAAAGTAACTAAAATTCCATTAAGTATAAAAAGGATTTGCACACGACCACGAGGACGAAGCAGGCGCAAATGCTGGAGGGAAGCGGGAAGAGTTTCGACAGCAGCCTATCGACGCGCCTTGAGATTCGATTATTTCGATAGGTTCGACAGCGATTATATCGATCGCTGGCTGGCTGCAGGTGGAGAAGGAGGGTGGGTTGACTCAGCACTGGCGCCTGCATCGCTGCAGCCCATGCAAGTGTACTAATTATATATTCAGCTAATGACTACGACAAAGATGGCACGTATATAAAGACCACATACACAATCACCAGATGAGAGAGTGTGAGGCGACAATGGCGACGATAAACAATTACCGATAAACGATTGGCATGGGACGATCAACTTTGAGTTGGATCATCGCCCTGCTTGTTGGTGTATGTATGTTTTGTGTGTGTGTGTGTGTGTATGTGTGCTTGTGGTGTTTGATGTTGTGTGTTTGTGTGTGTGCGAGAGAGAAAGAGTCGGATAGTTAGATAGATAGAGAGAGATTCAGTCGTTTCTTGTTCTTGTATTAAAATATTGTAGTAAAATATTGTTGCTGCTGTTGCTGCTGCTGCTGCTGTTGTTGTTGTTGTAGGAAGTTGTTTTTGTTTCTATCATTTTCATTAATTTTAATTTGTTGTTCTTATTTGTTGTTGAGAAGAAGTCGCCGCAGACGCCACACAACGAAAGTAGGAGAATTCGCCTTAGCCTTCGCTTCAGTTTAGATACTAGATTTAGTTCTCGTTTGGTTTTGTCACTTCGTTTGGTTTGACTTTACAGAGATGAAGTATTGGTTTTCGATTCGTCTTACAATTTGTTAGCAAATTATTTCAATTACCTAATTTGCTATTATTAAGTTTCTTGGTTTGCCTCTTTAAATCTTCTTCGTGTTCTTCTTGTTGTTGTTCTTCTTCTTCTTGAATGGGGAAATGCGCGCAACTGGCAACTGCTTCATATCTACTGCTTTCTTGTCAACTGCTTGCCAAAAGACAGGCGCGCATGCGCACTTTAATACTTCTGTTTAGCTTTTACATTTGCTCTTTTGATATAACGTTGCGCAAAATTTTGACATATATATATATATGTGTATATATATATTTGTTTTGTTATATATATAATTCTATAATCTTTCAACTTTATAATTAGCTTCCATTTTAGGGGGTGTTGTTGTTCTGCATTTTTGCATTTTAATACCAATAAGTACTCGTTAACGCTTGCTGTGTTGCTGCTGCTCTTGTTGTTGTTGTTGTTGTTGTAGTTGCTGCTGCTGTTGTTGTTGTTGTTATGGTGGTGGTGGTGTTGTTGTTGTCTCTGCTCATGCTCCTCACTATCCTTGATCAATTTCGCCTTCTGTACTATATACGATCTTTGAATTTGTTGTGTTCTATGTCTGTATGCCCAGTGTTTATCTTCTTTGAGCCGAACTTGAGACTATTCCTATGTTCCGAACTGTTCCGAACTGTATGTGCTGACTCCCTCCCACCGTTCGCTGCTTAACTGTCGACTACCAACTGACTTTGCTGCTCCTCCTCCGATCCCCCAGATCACCCGGATCCCTAGAGGACCCATCGATCCGTCTAACTTGACTAACTTGACTGTTATGTAGCTGCAGCTGTGGCTGGTGCTAACTGACTTAGAATTATCCATTGATTGAATTCGCATTTGCATTGGCCGCTGCTGCTGCCGCGGCTGACAGTGATTTCTGGCCCTCCTCCGCCGGCGAGGGCGTTGCATCCCGCCGCGGCGGCATCCGTTCGTTGACGGCATCCAGGCCCTTGGCCTCCGCGAACGAGGTAATCTTGTGGTTGGGCGAGAAGCCCTGCATGGCGTTCTTCAGCGACTGCTTGCCGCCGGAGAGGGCACCGAGGGGCAGGGCGCCCGTGGGCGTCAGCCCCTTCAGCTGCAGCACCGACTCGGACTCCTCGCGCAGCACTGAGAAGACGCGCGCCATCTTGCCGATGGCACGGATCTTGTTGCGGATCACCTCCTTGCGCAGCGCCGCCTCGTCGTCGGAGAGCGGCTCCTCGCTCTCCTCGGTCATGAGCTCGTCGTCGGAGCAGATGTTCAGCACGTTCACCAGCATCTCGGTGACCTTCTCGCCCACGAAAGGCAGCGACCAGGTGAACACGTCCATGAAGTTGGGTAGCCAGTACGGGTGCGGCGAGCAGTTGAACTGCCGGATGTTCATCACGTTGTTCTCGTACTTCAGCACCGCCGCCTTGTTGTTGTACACGTCGAGATAGTTGGGCGCCGAGAAGATGGTGATCAGCGAGGGGAAGCCGGTGGTCTGGCTCTTGCGGTACATGCGGTAGCCGGCGTCCTGCGCCTCGTGCGCCCGGATGATCGACAGCAGGTTGTTGTTCTGCAGGAAGTCGCAGCAGGCGGCGTAGCTGTAGAAGTACGAGCAGCCGCGCACGGAGTTGTGCGTGTAGAAGTCCGAGTTCTTCTCGTTGCCGAAGTCCTCCAGCGGATCGGACCACAGCAGGTCGCACATGGGGCCGAAGGCGGGCGGCTCCTTGAAGCGGTCGAGCCGCCGGATGTCCTCCAGCTCGTGTATCTCGGGCGAGAGGCCGCCGTGCACGCAGAGGAACTGCTGGTTCATGAGCGCCGCCAGCGGCAGGCAGTCGAATGCGTCCATGCAGGCGTCGTACACGCGCTCCGAGTACTTGATCTTGCACTCCTGTTTGAAGGTGAAGTACTCGGTTAAGTGCCGGCACTCGTGGTTGCCGCGCAGCAGGAACAGCGTCTGCGGATAGGTGATCTTCAGCGACCACAAATACAGGACGCACTCGATGCTGAAGTAGCCCCGATCGACGTAGTCGCCCAGGAACAGATACTTGGTGGTTGCCGGCGAGCCCCCAATCTCGAATAGCTTCATCAGATCGTAGAACTGGCCATGAATGTCGCCGCACACCGTCACCGGGGCCTCGATGTCGATCATCGTCTTTTCCGTGCGCAGTAGCGTGGCTCCCTCCTGGATGATGCGCAGGGCGGCGCTCTCCTCGATCCTGCCCTCCAGGATGAAGTGCTGCTTGAGGACATCGTGCTGCGGCTTCCCGGTCCGCGCGTCGAACACATCCGCGCAGGTGAGTTTACGGCTCGGCGGAAATGCCACGCTGTCGATCACACGCTCCTTTGTCGATATTGTGCTGCGCTTGGTGGGGCTGGATGGACCGCTCGAGGTTCCAGTGCCGCCCTGACCCTGCTGCTGTGTGCCCGCCGAGCCAGCCGCTCCGGCTGATCCCGATCCCGATCCCGATCCCGCCGCTGTCCCCGTCGTCGCCGCTGCATTCTTGTTGTCGTGTGTGTTGTTGACATTGGCCTTTTGATTCTGCTGCTGCTGCTGGGCTGCGGACTGCGACTGGCTGCTGCTGCTGTTGCTCTGCGCCGCCGGCGAAGACATGGTTGCCCGATCCTCCGACTGCCCCGCCTGCGTCCTCGACTGCTGACTGCTGCTGACTCTGGAGCTTCTGCTGGCTGCTGGTTGCTGACCTTCCCACCTGAGAGTTGATCACGTGTCACTGCCCCAGACGCGCCAGCTCCTGCTCCTGCTCCTGCTCCACCACCTGGTGCTGCTGCTCCTTGGCCTAGCTGGTTCGTCCTGGATCGTCCGTGGGATTCCCCTCTCTCGCTGCTTGCTATTCCACGCGCTCTGCAATGAAAAATGTGGACGCCCAGTTAGCATTTGTATTTATATTCATGCTGGCGCACAGTAGATGGCTGGTATTAAAAATAAAAAGAGTCCCGACCACCAAATGTTGTACATAGTATACATCTGTATTATTTCCTGTTCATAACAAGCATATGAATCAGATACGTTGTGGTTTCAAAACTTTATAGGATAATACAAACATTTTGGGTATGGACACAGAAATATGCCATTTAATGAGCGAAATTAAATGATTCTATCCAAATAATTGTGCAAATAATTAGATTTAACCCATCTAATGCAATTTTAATGTTATTAATTTCTATTCTCTTGACCGCCACTGTGCTTCGCACACACACAGCAATTTTACAGTTAAACAATTGCACCGAAATTTCAGCAGTTTATTAGTCAGAAATGAGGAAAGAAAAATCATTTTATGGCAACTGCAACAGTAAATCAAGAACCGAATTAGATACAAAAATTATACTATTTGTTCAAATTTCACATATGTATGAGTACTACCCGCTGAAATTACAATTGAAAAGACTATCTATAGCTTAACAACGGCGATGCTAATAACAAAGTGGCACAACTCAGAAGGGTATTAATTAAAAACGTCGGAAATACAATATTTATTTTATTTACACGCATTTTAAATGCCAGTCAGCGGCGGTAATGAAACATGTTAAAAAGGGCATTACAAATTCTGAAGGTTAAACCGAGTGACGGAAACCAAATATATGTACAAACTACATACATATATGTACCTTCAGGATGTTGTGTAATTATTTTAAGCTTGAAAAATGCAGTAATACTAATTCCCAAGGCTTGAGATTAGAGACGGAATATTCAAAGTTTAATCTGTGGACTGAAATCTCACAGACTTTTCATTAAAAATGACATTTGTAGTAATAAAATAGTTTAAAAAACACCATATATGTTTTCAGTCTTAGAATAGTGACGAAAAAAACATTGAACACAAAATTTGTGTTAGACTAAAAAAAATTTGATCATATCAATTAATCATTGAAAATTGAATTGAAACCCTATCGTTTTAAGCAACAACAAAATAAGCTGGTGACGAAAGCCACACGACGGGTGTCAAGTTACATTTTATATGTGAATGGCCGAATTGGCCACAACCTGTTACCTTTTTTCACACACTTCGATGTTTTTGGCATCGGTTTCGCTTTTTTGATTAATTGCAGCGTTTCGCAATTGTGCATACATGCACACACAACACATTTCTGTTGGTAGCTGGCTGTCATTCCTTGCACAAATGCAAATATGTGCGGATAAATTAGAAAAATAATCAACGCCGTCTGAATAAATATAGCGCTAACAATCACCGCAGCGGTAGTACAAACAGACGGACGGACAGACTAACTGACGGATAAATACAGTAGACTAACTACTACAAGTTGTCTGCCAGCGACGTATTGACTGACTGACTAACTGACTGACTAACTAACTGACTGACTAACTAACTGACTGACTAACTGACTGAATGACAACTGCAGCGTGTGGCAGCGCATCGCAGCAATAATGGCCAAAACAATACGGCCAAAAACACGTGCGTCCTGCCGAGCGAACATCACCCATCCGCCCCGTGGTACCGCCACATTCACATGGCTGCAAATTAAAATCAACTGTCGCTTCCAAATTGAATAGGCAATGGAATGACGCAAAAAATTAACCTGCCAACTGCTTTTAATCCAATGCGAGTCTAGTTGATTACGTAAACGAAAAGAACGAAGTCAAATGGGAAATTCTTTAGCAATAGGAGAATTGAAAACAAGCTGATACTTTTGAGTTTAACTTTCGTATTCTACCTATAGTTTTATCATAATGCCATTTAAGTTACAGTTCATATCTAAGCAAAGCTGTTTAACTTTCAGTTCATAACGCGCGAAATCAATTACTTTCCAACAAAGTAAGTTAACGACTCAGTTTCATGTTGGTGCATTTCATGAAAAGACATTAAAATCACTCAATGACAATTACAACCGAAAACTGATTACAGTTTTATGGTCAACACTTTGTACAACTTTGAAATCGACAGTAACAGACGTTTACTATCGTCTGTGAAAAATATTCTTTGAACAAAGAATCTGGAATGGAATACTGATATTAATAACAAAGTAGCTTTTATGCAAATATAAATTTAATATACTCACATACCAAAATAGCTTGAGTGTGTGTGTGATGATTTTTAATTATTAAACGAGTTTTGCAAATTGGAGAGAACAACATTCATTGTCTACACAGCTAATTTCATGCATACTTGTATATTTCATTTTTTTTTTGCCTGTGGTTAGGTTTTTATGGCTTTGTGCATATTTTTGCGTTTACACGATCGCATCAACACACCCACAACAAGTGGCTAAATGTTCGACATTCCTGGCTGTACGTGTCCCCCATCTTACACTCGACGAAATAGGAGGGCCTTCCCCTTCCACCCCACCGAAAAAAAAGGAATGAAAAACAAAGTCGGTAGAAAACAATTGAAATTGTAGGTGAAACATGGCCAAGCAGGCTAATGAAATACAACTTTTTGTTTACAAAGTCTGTTCTACTTTCCGCCGATATGTGACCTACAGTGGGCACTCGAATAAACAAACTGTCCATTAGTGCATCTAATTCGATTTATTGAATTAAAATTTCAAAATGATGTTATTGAATCATCCACAATAGTTTCCAATCAATTAAATTAGGAACCACTTAGACAACAACGGCGTCTTGTTTCATTTAATACCTTAATTAATGGCTCATAAAATGTTACGGATTTTATTTAATTAATTCCGGCTGTCAGATGTCCGATATATGTACATACATACGTGCATTGCACTGCCATAATATAGAGGGGCTCGTCCCCAATGTGCAATTTATTGTGCGCTACGTTGTACACACATTAATGTGCATAAATGGGCATGTCTTCATTTTGTATGAAGCTAGGCTCTCATGTCGGCGTAATTATATAAGCATTTGTTACTGGTATCTCCCGAGTGCAATAATGTGCAAGGGTGGGCGCCACAAACCGGTAACGAGCGCCCAAATGTAGTTCTGCGAAAATGAACTCAGAGAGGGCGTGGCAACTTGCACTGCGTACCTAGTATACCCTAAGAAAGGCTATTTATTTATTTATAATAACAAATACAAATGTGTATAATAATAAATACATTATTTAGTTTTATTCAAAGCATCGTCGACTGATGATAGTCAACCAATTAAATGGATTTTTAGTTTTCTCATTCATGTGGAAAACTAGATCGAAATTAATAAATTTGGCTTGTGGATAAGAACTTGAACAGCAATTAGTGCCACGATCAGCATGCGCAGCACTCACATCTAGTGGGAACCCACTCCTGCTCCATAGTCATTCCATCCGATCCACACGCACTAGATCTTAATTCAGACCAATGTTTTTCCATTCAATTTTTATTTAAAGCTGCGTGGAAGACTTTCTATTTATCCCAATCACGTATAAAAATCACGTTGGATAGCCTACGACATTAATCGAGCTATAACTAAATTCTATTTGTCACTTACTTGAAAAGATAAAAAGCTATCACTGATCAATGACAAGGCACCATAAAAATATAATCGTAATGCACATAATGTATGTTAATTCAAAAGACGATTGTAATTAAAAAGCGTTTCTAAATCTTGTTGGTGTTGATGGATTTTATTCAAAACAATCTTTTTAAAACTTTAAAAGTTTTTAAAGTTCCCAAGTTCTCAGCATTGATAACGTTGCTACGGAAGGTTGACAACCAAGACGAAAACCACCAGAGGCTTCATAATCAAATAATCTCTCATCCAGAGAGCGGCATTAATAATTTAGTGGGCCGTATGCCGTAATGTCTAAATGATTGGAAGGGCGACGTCACGTCGGTGGTTTTGTGGCTGGCTGGGCGGTTGCTAATCGAGCATTTGACGCATCAAATTGAACGCAAGCGTTTTAATGGATATGCATTGACAGTTGCAATAAATTTGCGCCATAGTTATTAACCTCAATTTTAATGCAAATAAAACAGTTTGATCGCGCAATGAACACAGCCGCACGAACTACTGCACAACTGCACACATGTGTTTCTGCCGCCATCGCCATGTCAATTGTAATTTGTGCTAATGTTTTTTGCTCAATTTATGGCAATAAATATATATTGGCACGCGTTTATTCGCCTTCATTAAAAAGTAAAGCAAAAGTGCAAGCTGTTGGCATTCAACTATGAAATATTTATAAGGTAAATATTCACCCTGCAATTGGCCTTAGAAGTTCAAGTTTATGGACTTTTAAGGGAGACACAACTAGACTCACAAACGGGATTTTATAAAGTTTAAACAGAAGTTAATTACCAAAAGCTAGCTTTCTATAAATTTCCATGAGGTTTATCAGTTAAACTGTGCATTCATTGTTATCGCATTCATCGTTTATTAGCTTATCGGTGCCCAAGTTCTTGGAATAAATTATTATCGAGACCTGTAATTCATAAAAAGCTTGACCTTTTACGCTTTTCGCTCTCTTTTCGAATACATAATCATTTGATCTCGACATTCGTCGATAAGGTAATTAGCCTAATTTCCCGATCTTATCGCGATAGCTCACTACCTACCTTATCGCCTTATTTACATAAGTTGTTGGCCCCACAAATTGAATTCCCACACAAAATCGATCAGACTGGTGGGCATTTAATGCACTTTATTCGTCTACTCCAAGCGAAGCGCATTGAACGACAGCGGTAAGTAAAAACACCAACTGGTAAAAACAATTTGTTCAACCCATCAATTTGGCATTTAATAGTCCACTTGGCCTCACTTATTGACGCTTTGTACAGGTGTCAGTCCCATAGAGACAAACTTTTTCCGGCTGCCTTTCTTTTTTTTTGTTTCATTTCTCTGTACTTGCTATTCTCGTTATCGTTTCGCTTCTTTGGTATTTATTTTTCATTTTAGACGGACACGGGTAGGCGGGGTTTGCGGTTTAAAATTCTGGTTGGCAT